AAGCAACATTATCAACTGAACTCTGCTCAGAATCGTCTTTTCGTTAGCAATGGTTTATCGTTGCTTACAGATATACATTAAATTCCCGTCTGTATCCTACCTTCCTGACTTCTCACCTACAACAGTGGCCCACCGATCGTGCTAATATGTCCGTCCTTTTTATTATATAATAAAGGTACCCATATTGTTAAATAATTTTAAGTAGGTATCTACACAAGAGTTCATTAATAAAAATGAGCTATAATTAGTTAAAAAAAGTAACTAGTATAAATATTATTTTCACGTATTTCATATTTGGTGAATATATTGCATTCTTTATTAACTTAAGAAGATTCAAAGATTTGTAGAGTTGGACTATCTGAGGGAGGGGGATCAAAACGATTCCTTTTCCTCTTTACAAAAATGTCAGAGGGTAAGTCCTTCTCCTTCCCCACAATCACGCCACTGGCAATGATTAGTCGTTATTTTCAGTTTACGAATTAAATTACAAAATTACACTAGGTATATCTCCAAAACTTCGCACCTATCTATATGAATATGGTGCAAGTATGTCCGAATTAATATTTGTTGAGAATTTAGTGGTTGTTGTACTTCTTAATTCCTACAGTCCTGTACATAATATCATGTTTATGTTTTATGATCATACATGTATAAGCGCTACGTTTAACTGCAATAGGGGCGTTTGTAGTAGTTCGACATGGAACTTGATACTTATATAATAGTAGTACATGCTTGGTAGGGTAGAGTACAATCTCATAAAGTTTGATGTGGCCGTTAGCAATAATAATACAATGTATAAGAACGAGGTCGAATTTCTCACAGTGAACCGCAGTTATGTACAATATTATTAACATTTCCGTTTTGAATATCATTCCTCAAATATTAAATTTAAAAAAAATAGTAGTACTTAATTAAAATTCGTTGTTTATAATCACGGTGTCTACCTAGTACCTAATAATTGCGTATCGTAAGACCTTTTTCTATTAAGTAATTAACCACCTATCTTAAATCGTGACGTATACAGAACGTAAAAAATCTATTTATATATTATAACTCCTATATAATATATATATTGTAGGTATACCTAATATAATAATCAAACACTATTTACTCACTCATTACTGTATCTCAAGAACCTCAGAAGAAAGAATTATAAGAAATATGGAAAGCTAAAATTCTACATGGCGGTTTTATTGATACTGTAGAGATGTGCAATAAGGCGGAATTTTTGACATACCCATTTATGTTTGATCTTATTACAACAATTTAATTTGTTTTCTTTATTTCTGGTTTACTTTGGTGACATCAGATGAAATGAAAATGTATAGTTTATTTATATATGTTTGCTTTTGTTACACGAAAAAAGGTAAATCGAATCATAAATAAAAGATGTCCGTGATAAACTCTCTCACTCACTCACTTTTCATACGCCCACACCAATCCACTAGGGACTTGACATTTTGGTGGTAAATATACGATGTAGAGATGAGATGAATAAGGATTTTATATTTTTATCCCAATAAATTTTTAAGGGGTAAACGTTTTTTTTGATAAACTAAAAATAGTTTTTTACTCTCAGAATTAATAAAGTTGTCTATTTTTTTGTATACGGTTTGAGGTGGAATCGATTAAACGTAAGGGAGGTTGGTGTCAGTTCAATAAATTGTCTCCAATTTTATTCTTTTAGATTTAATGTTGAGACTTTTCCACTAATCTACTGCTAGATACTCATTTAAGGGGATGTGGCATGGACGAATATGACGTAACTTCATTAATGGTTTAACTATAGATCGAAAAGCCAGACAAACCTGTAGGAAACTCGTTTGAAGGATTTTAATTTTGAAAACGTATAATGATAATTTATGTTTTTTACTAGGATATATTAGAATGATTTTTTAGAATTTGATTTATTTAATCATAAATAAATGTATCAAAATAGTTGTAAAATTAAAATTTTAAAATTTTTTCAAAAATACATTCAAATTTGTTTATAATTTTAGTAAAATAATTCAATTTATACTTCCCACATATCCTGGTATAAAACCTAAATAATGATAATCCTTTTTAAAATTGAAATCCGTCAAACACAATTCTTACAGTTTTATCTGGCTATTATATCTAAAATGATTAAAACATATCATAGTCACCAATCCCTTTAACTAATAGAATTTTGTTTTAATAGCTTCTGTTTTTTTTTTTTTTTTAAGTAGTATGGTTAAATGCCATTATATTAAATATAATATCTTTTGTCTTAAAATGGTCTAAAGCTACTGCCATTTAATTTATCATGAGTAACGCCCCGCCATTGTGCAGGATCAGTTAGTATTTATAATATAACGATTTGTTTGAAATACGAAATAATACTGGAAAATGTTCTTTTAAACAGCACAAATTTACAAATTAAAACCGTTCTAATCGTCCCGTTTTAAAATTCTCGCACAGAAAAGTCCATCGACATACCTATATTTATATATATATATATATATATATGTATATATAATTATACATATTGGCTACTCCCCGTTCAGATTTTATTGAATTTTTTTCAGCTTTTACGTTTTCCTCTCGAAAAAAAAATTATCGGATACGTATAAGTATAATATAGTAGTAGTAGTAGTTTGAGTCTGTATTTTTTTCTGTTTGGTGTTTTTTCAAATAAAATTCATACAGAATTCGTTTAGGTACTATAAATATTATACTTTTTGTCATTTTATAATTATAAACTGGACATTCACGGATTAAGTTTACGACCCTTTTTAGCTGGCTGTAGCCACTAGCAAATAATGTCTACTTTTCGTACATTTTAATCTAGATTTTATAAAAGTTTATGGTGTCTACACTCTACAATGGCCCAGTAACTATTACTATATTACTATCTTTAAATTCCCTAATAATATTATTATCGTTGAACCGTTTTAACCCCACGTGTAAAAATTACGACTCGACCATATATTATATTGTACAATTAAAATCCAGCTGCGTCCTTTTTTTCTAAACTTTGTATAAATTGCAAGTAAATAACATGCATTGTAGCGGTCGGTTTAAATGCGTATACAATATATGAGTATACGCATTTACACATACATATAACATGTTTATCTCGCCAAAATTAACTTTTGTTTTGAATTGTGCGTTTATATAATACGAAGATAGTTGCATTTGTTTAACCAATATAACAATATGTAATCAGTGTGTTTGATTTAGGTATTTTGGATTTTCAGCGAAGCGAGGAATCAATGGGTTTTACTACGATGTTTATTATTTTTATTTTTATTTTTATACCGCATACAAAAATTCTACCGGAACTTTTTCTCCGATATATACGTCTGGCACCATTTTTGAAAGGAAATATTGTCTAAATGGTACTTTAAGGTAGTCATTTTTTTGATTTTCTAAGCGGTTTTCATAGTATCCTGGAGAAACAACGATAAAACGTAAGAAAAACGGGAAATTTATGAAAATAAAGCTTATTTATTATTTTCAATTTTGTTATTTGTTGTAATTCAATTAAAAATATTCGTAGAGACTTGAAATTTGGACAGAATACTTATATTTGCCTTTTCTAGACGTAGTCAAATTTTCTAAAAACTTTAAGCTATTTTTGGGCTATTTATAGACGTTTTAATTATGCGAGTTTTGTACGTAATTTTTATTCGGTAGGTATTCCGTAATAAAATTGTTAGACCTAACAGGAATGCTTGAAAATTTAACTGGAGGTTCATTTAAAGTCGAACTTTCTGTTAATATAAATTTGAGTTTAATGTTGTATTTTATTTTTTAAAGGAATTTAAATATTAAATTTTGACCAAAATTGTTTACGTTAAAAATCATATGGAACAAATCTAATTTTCTAATTTCAGATTCTGAGCATAGCGAAGAATGTATTGGTTTTACAATGATGTTATTAAATTATTAAAAAAAATGTTTAATGCATATGTAATTATCATAATATAACATATATATTGTTGACAAAGCAACATTATTAACCGAACTCTGCTTAGAATCGTTTTTCCGTTAGCAATGGTCAATCGTTGCGTACAGATTAAATTTCTTCCCTACCTTTCCAAAATTCTCACTTACAACAATGGCTCACCCACGTATGAAGTATGTCCGTCTTTTTATTTTTTCTCTTGAAATTGTAACAGCCTTTAAGACCAACCATAGGCGTCATTCGAAGCAAAATCATGGGGTAGCAAGTATTTTGATTAATATTTTTAATTTAGTTGAGATTTAATGAAGGGAGATTATAATATCTTACAACGGTGAGCACACATGATATTATGTGTGCCATATACTATAGGCAGTGTCGTAGCCAGGATTCTCAACGGAGAAGGTTAAATTCAAACCTAAAATTGCACGTTTATTTTCTTTATTGCATTTAAAAATATATTATACCTAGTAAGTCAATAAACTATAAAAATATAAACCGCGTATACCATAATAAAGTAACATAAAAGCACTAGAACCCTTCGGTTTCGGGAATCCTCTACTTTCTTAGATTAACTTTTAAAATGTATCTAGAATGCAAGTTGTAAGGATTCGTGATACAGTCTTTGATCTGTTCTCTGTTACTTCTGAAGTCCTTCAAGTTAGGTCCTCAACTATTTATCCTCTTCATAAACTCAATTGGTAAGTGGATAATTCAGACAGAATTTTTCTATTTGTGGATGATGTTGAAATATATATTTGAGGATCAACTCCCTATCGAATTGCCTTCTACTCCAAGGTGAGCTTACATTTTTTGCATTTGGGTCGAGCGATTTTAACTCTCAACCTCGATGAATGTAATATAATGACATTTCCAAGGATTCAATCCCTTATTTTTCATAGTTGTTTCTTTAATTAGACTTTACTTCAGCAGAAATGTTGTGTAAAGGACATTACAATCTTCCTTACGCCTTCTTTAAATCTTGCATAACATATTATAAAAATGACATTTGGAAGAGCTCTAAAATGATTGTAATGTGATCGTTTTGCAGACGCGGCCTGCTGCCGTCACCATGAAGTTGGACGGTAACATGAACGTGATGTCTCGGAGCAATACGTGGCCCGTGGTAGTCATTCGGCTAGAGCACGTAGACGACGGTGACGACGGTGGCGTGCACTTGACCGACGACGGCCCTTGCACGGCGTTGACGGACGACCTGATGGGCGGCGTCGGCGGTGGTGTCGGCGGGGTTGGCGGCGGAGGCGTTACGGGCATGACGGACACGTGTCCATTGGCACCGCTGTCGGCCCGCAAACGAGCCACCCTGCAGCGTCACTATTACCCGGAGGCCGGCTGGGGCTGGGTGATCGTGGCCACGGCGATCGCAGTGCACGTGCTCAATCACGGGCTCCAACTGTCGGCGGCCGTCACGCTCGGAGCAGCGGCAGTCAAGTTCGGACAACCGGTCATTAACACAGGTCAGTGATCGGCCATTTATCCATGCCCCTGTCCCTGTCATCTGTCGCATTTAGTTAAGATATTAATTGATTAATCGTCAACACATTACCATACCATTGTGTTAACCGGTTATCGTGGGATAAGTACTTTTGTTGCCAGAGATATTTGAAAAAAAAAAGTATCTAGATACAACGCACTACACTTACAGATACATTGATTTTATCATCTTAGATACGTTCAACGTTTCCGTGACGGTGTTAGGTATTTTCTATTTTTTACCTTTAGCTACAAGATACTTAATCAAAGACGCTAGATATAAAAATGTGAACGCGGTCAATATCATTAGTTTTTAACAAAATATCAAAAATACGCATTAAATACGGATTAAAAACTCGTTCGGATAAATTGGTACGGTATGTTGTACGCACAATTTTGTACAATCATTGTGCACTAGACAACAGATGCGCTGTACGTTAATATTGTGTTCGTTTGACTCGCGCCTCACAACGTTTGTACGTAAACAAATTGACACGGGATAAAAACGCATCCAACACACCGTCCGTCGGTGTCATTGAACATTATTACAACATTATTCACCTAGCGTTGCGACGGAGATAATTCGCACCGATAATTGTCCGGGTTAATGTGTACGGCACGCCGCGCAGTGGACGATTTCACCCGTTCGCGGAAAAATCCACCGTACAGCCGGTATGGGTACGTACACGTGTACTGGGCGTGTTCGCGGGACGTGGGCCGTTTCCCGCGGGATTGTACATTTCTAACTGCGTATTTCGCCGTCCGGCGAACATCCAACGGTGTTATTAAAATTTGTGTACGTTGCGTGTTTTACGGCCGTCGTCGGTGCCAAGCGCGAGCACGCGTCACCGTCTCACGCCGACCGGCGGTCACGTTGGGACGGGCCAGAGACTGCGGTCCGGCGCCCAAACGAAATGCGGCGAGTTCACATCGCTGCGCGAATAAAATATAATGTTTTTCGTCCGGGTTTTTTTTTTGTTTTTTTCGTGTAGGTATTTTATTCGAGTACATCGCGGAAACGCGTAGTTCTGACCCGAACACGATATTATAATGTACTCGGCGCCGGGAGGGGTTAAGGGGGGGGTTGGCCGAACGGTTTAAACGTCGATTCCCATTTTGTTAGAATTCATTTCCATGCGATTAGCAGGTAAATAATACGGTTGTTTTGCTACCGGATTGGAATACCGACCTGTGACGACAACGAACAATTAAAACACATTAAATTTGTGCGCTAAGAAAATCACTCTGTATAATGTATATAGGCGTGTAGGTGGGCGGGTACAAGCGAATCACCCGAGAATGGTTTTTATACGTCGTGGAAAATACTTCCGCTCGTAGTCGATTTCGCAGTTAATATTATCAGTGAACGAATATAACAATACATTAAACATTTAGGTAGATGTCTACCTGTATTCAACCTCACGTGTGACGTTTCACATTAAGATGGGTTGAGGGTTGGGGAGTCGTAAAATGGTCGTACAACTGCGGACTTATACTTAAAATTCGATTTCAACCCACTTATATTGAATTTAATGCATATAATAATAACGTATACGATACATTATGCAACAACGTACAATATAGCTGATATTAATGTAGCTACTCATTAATTTCATATAATGGACCACGTCGGTCAAATGACTAGGTAAATTAGTTGTGTGTAATCTACATCAGTGGCGTATTTACGGCATTTTTTTTTTTTTGTAAGTGCCTGACGGCACAACATGAAAATGAAAAATGCATCGCGTGTCTCAATAATTTTTTAAAAATTAAATTACACGCGTATTTTAAAGTCACGGGCCTCGAGAGCTGATCCACCAGCGTCATCAATCCCCCCCCCCCATTGACACGAAATCGTTATTTGATCCGGTTGTATAGTGAGTATCCAATAATTTATTATTATATTCATTTTACGAGAATGTTAAGTAAAACACCGGAAACGCATATACCCCGCAATAACCTTTGCGATTAATTTGCACGCAGTATTATTGTTCGGCACAAAGCAATGTTAGTTTAGAAAAACATCTGAATGTCGACTTGGCGGAATAACGAAAATAAAACGGTACCACGCGTGCGGGGTGTAATACAATAGCTAATCAATATCTTATAGTTTATGTGGGCTTTTGCATTCATTTACAGCTTCTGTTCAAATATTATAATTTATGTTTGGCAAGTGGAAATGCGTTCGGTTTTAACGCAGTGCATATTATTCAATTAGCAGTGATGTTTTCGTTTTAAATTCAGCATATAGCGAGCGTTTTTTTTTTTTTTTATTAAAAACAATGAGAAAAACATATTTGGAATATTGTTTTTGAACGAAATATAAAACACATCCTGCTGCGTTTTATAATATATAAATGTTACCGATGACGTTTTTTATTCGAAAAAAAAATCTCGCGGGTTAACGATTATCGTATTTCAAAATATTAGCATTTAAAATTCGCATACGATTGCATATTATACGATCATTAATTATTGTGGCCGTTCGTAATAATAAACAACGCGTTCAATATTAAACAAATTAAATCTAAAACGATATACGTACGTATAACAATATTATTGCCCAGTGCTGTAGACAGGAATTTAATATGAGGCGAGGGGGCAGGGTTTGATCATAGTAATTACACTGAATTAATTAAAACTAAAATAAAACAATAACATTTATAATTTTTATTTTTTTATAATCGTTTTTTGGTACTTATTATATATAATATAATATGTAATCTGACTGGCCTGGCAGTAAATATAAAATTTTGTGCACACAAAATGTGTAATACAAAATATATTTAGAAAGATTACTGGACGACAATGTTTAATGGCATTTAATATATTTGATGGCAACACTGCATTATTTGTAATCATACACTTAGCCTTTATTGCTATCAATTTTGAAGTTCAAAGATTGCTGTATTAAATTAGAGGAAGATAAAAAGAGACCAGATAGTCTCAAGATCAGTATTACCTCTAACGCTTGGTAAAAATAATTGATAAATGAAAAAAAAAATCTTTAAAATATTTTAAATGTTTGTAAATATATCTGTTTACATTTCATACGTTAAAGGCTTCCTTTTACAAAAAAGGGTGAAGGTCCTCCCTCGGGTTGAATCTCCTAACCCTTCCGGCTTCTGTGACTATTGCCCTGTTATTCTGAAAAAATGTCGTTTCGTTCAAACCATACAGGTTATTAAAATAAATCATCGAACGGCTAAACCGTAAAGAACTGTGGATGGTGTCCCAAATTTCTCTTAAATTATACAATAAATACGCAAAATAAAAAAAATCAATGTTGATTATTTAAAGTTGAAATAGTTGACAATCAATTAAGACGTTGGTGATTTACTCGGGATGTTCTATGGTATATAGTTTTAAATCCCACCCCTTTATCGATTTTTGTTAGCGTCGGCTCTAGGTATAGCTGCATGGAAAGGATATACGTAATATAGACCCCAAGTAGAAAATAAAAATCTTAAATTCGAGGTATAGAAGTGTAAAAGAGTCAATATAGTACCACTGATCAACATTTGAAGAAGTCTTAAGTGTTTAATACAGTTCGCCTGTCAGCTAATGAGCACAGGTTAAGTATATATTTAATACCTACAAGGGATCGTGAGGGTTGTGTTTGATTTTTAGAATATAGGCAGAAAAACTAAAAAAAAAAAAATACTCGTGTAGTTAAACGTGACTCTTGTGACACCAGTTTGGGAATAAAACAGTACTATATACTAGATAACATAAATCTCACAAAAGCACAATTTAGTAAATCTGCCTTTAAAGAATCCACAAACCTGAACTCTATACGACTACACATCACAAGCTTAACAAATTCAAGCATTTTTAAAGATACACAACACGTCGCCTCTTTTTATGCATAAAATAAAGCTCATGATGTCATGGTCTAATGCAATTAAAGTCTACAACAATCCTACTGCAGGTGGACATAAATAGGGCACCGGTGTACCAGTGTATCACACGTAACAGTTTTACGGCACAAAATATTCAATGGAATCAACCGTCTTATAAACTGACGTACGTATTCTATCGATATTAAATCTGAATCCTAGATTTTCAACTCAACATACAACCATCCTCGGTAATCAATGAAGACGAACAATCGGTTACGTATGTATTATAATACTCGTATATTAGTTTCACTGATCTTCAGGGTGGAAGTGATCGATCTCTATTCTCATCAGGATCGATTTGATCAGTCATTTGTAGGTAGGTATGTGGGTTTTCACACGACTTAAATCTTGAATATTTTTTTGTGAAAATGTTTTTCGTTTCCTCAGTTAGATTAGGTTGGATCGTTTGTATGATCGAATAATCATGCGCGTATCACCATCATCGACCTCAGTATTTTTTTTTGTATTTAACTCCATTATATACAATGACGTCTTGTTTTATCTCGGCGAAACGTGTTATTTTATGCTAAACAGGCCATTGTCGTGCCGTGTAGTAATATCTGCGATTTATACGGACGGATGCTATAAATATTATGTGTTTGTATGGAGATTTTGTTCGGTTGTTTCACTATTCTCTAGGAGATATATTTAAATTTCAAACGAAGAACGCCGCGCGGTAGTGAAATAAAAGACTGTGTTTGAAATAACAATAATATATTATGCATACTTATACGAGCAGGTACCTACCGCAATTTAATATAAATTTGTGTGAGAAATCTATTTTTTAAACGTATTTCTTCTTGGTTTTCAATGCATTATAAGTAACAACATGTTATGTATGATGATTGTTCAAAATATCTGTAGTTCGATGCAGTGGCGTTTCGAAGGTGTGGTTGACTTCTCGTCCTTTCCCCTTTGAGGATATTATAATACAAAATACATATAGGAATATGAAGTTCAATGGGTATTAAGAATCTGTGGAATAAGATTAAATTCTGACCTGGTAGGTATTAGGTACATTTTAGCTACCCGTTCTGGAATTTCGGATTGGTTGGTTCTGGTTTTGGCGATATAAATACCTCCAGTACCC